GTAAATCACTTGCAAAATTTGTAAAATCTTATGTTTTATAAGAGGTCTTGCTTTACTGTACTGCTGAAATCTTTCTTAGTTGCTGAGTACAATGCCAGGTCCCATCACCATGTTGTATATATAAACCAAGGCACTATGAGGCATTCACACATAACATAGCATGAATCTTAAACTATATAATTATTTAACAACAAATAAAGAAGTTCCACTTCAGTAAGACTCCTAGGCATAGAGGTCGTGCTGGAAATCTTTGGAATGCAGAGGGGACAGACTGTGAGAGAATCTAATTAGAATTTATGTCTAAAAAAATAGTGTTCATATTTTGTACATCAGTGATATTACTCATGAACTCACGTTACCATGCATGCTATGCACTGGATAGCAATATTCCTGGCACAGCATAGCCTTTGATGACAGCAGGCTCTAAGATAAGGAAGTAAACTCCTGCACAGTTTGCACATCTTTTCATCGGCATGCAGTGAAAAATGTTAGATAAGATGCAGTCACGAGAGAGTTGATTAGGAAAAGAAAAATATGCCCTTTCTTCAGTTTTAATGCATGAACTATACTCTGCTCTTACTATGATTCTAGAAGGCTTTGTCCTTCAAATACTTATGTATATGAAAAACTTCTCTTGTTTGGTTATTGTTATTATGGTCAACGAAATTATTCACATACAAGTATTGTTTGTGAGCTTAAATTATTTTCATGCCATGAATAAGCTAGTCTTTTTAAAATATTTGTAACTTGAAACAAAGTGTCATTGAGTTTCAGCTGTTGTGAACATTTTATGAATGATGTCCTTGCTAGAGTTGTATTATATATATTTTCATCAATACAAGTGAACTGCCATGGATGATGATAATAATAATAATAATAGCAAAGAGCACTGCTGTATTATACTAGCAAATAAGAAAAAAAAATGGAAAGATGTGAGCTAGGAAAGATCTGTTGGTTGTAGGAACAGATTTAACAGCCATGTGTGTGAAGGTACTTAAAGCTCTTATCTTACTTTCTAACTTGTTTTTTAAATCTCTTTTTTTAGATCCAGTGCTTCTCTTGGTAAATTTTCAGCTGTTAAATGCTTGTGTAGTTAATGTCACTCAATTAATCACTTAACATGTCAGAGAAAATATTTGAAAATGGAAAACAAGAAATTTTCAAAGTATTTGTGTCAAAATCATGGAGTGCTGAGTGTACTCCCTTACCTCATTTGTTTGGATAAAAGGGAAAGGCAAATGTTTCAAGTATTACTGTAAGCAGAAAGAGAAGTATTTTAGAAAGAGAAGCTTCATAATGAATTCTGAAACCTAAAATTTCTTACCTGTCTACTTTTGTATTATACCAAGTGATCTAGGAGTTTTATTATAGCATAGTTTGAGGGAGCAAAGAAAAGCTTCTCTTTCTTCATTTAGTTGGTTCAAACTCATCCCTAGAGGTCTGATTCTTCTTCCAATAAAATCAACAATAAAAGTTCTCTTTACTACCTTGGTCTTTGAAACACACCTTAAGTACATGATTGGGTCCTAGATATACATACAGAGCTGATTAACGTCTTTAAAACAACCACCAATGTTGAACAGTTTTTCACTTGTATATCTTAACTACCAATACAGAGATAATTTTCTATGTAAAATTATGAGGAAGAGTTAGTAAATGTTTCAAACATAGAGACATGACCTACCCTGGATAGAAACAGACACGGCTTAAAGGATGACTGCTTTATGTAATTATGATGTTAAAAATAGCAGAAAGTGAGCTTTACTGCATCTGGATAAATACATTCCAAGGTCATAGAATCATGGAGTGTTTTGAGTTGGAAGGGACCTTAAACCCTTATAATGCCACGGACATGGGCAGGGACACCTCCCAGTAGTTTGCTCAGTAGGTTGCTCAAAGCCATATCCAGCCTGGCCTTGAACACTTCCAGGGCTGGGGCATCCACAGCTTCTCTGGGCAGCCTGTTCCAGTGCTTCACCATCCTCATAGTAAAGAATTTCTTCACTATTTCTAATCTAAATATACCCTCTTTTAGTTTAAAGCCATTACTCTAAGTGCTATCATTGCACTTACCTGGTAAAGAGTTCTGCTTTCTTGTGAAAAAAATAACATGAAGATGAAATTACAAGCTGAGGAGCTACTCTTCCTTCATGAACCTTCATGAATATCCTGCAAAAGCAGGGGAAAGAGGAAAGAATATTCATTCTGTCTGAGGAAAGAATATTCATTCTCTGGCTAAATTGTCCAGAAATGAATAGACTCCTGTCAGTAAATGTTTAATGACACATCTTTGTGGATCAATATTTAGTGATCCAAATCACTAAATCAAAACCACAGACCAATTATATAAACTTCTATAAATTTTATAAATTATTTTTATAAAATTATATAAATATATATTAAGAAAGAAACAATCAAAAACAAACAAACAAAACCAACAGAATAATTTGAACTACCTCTTCTATTCTTGTGATTTTTTTCCCCCTTAATATCTAAACAGAACTTCTTTTTGTAATATCTAAACAGAACACGTTGCACCTTGTATCTGTTTCCTATTGTCCAGGGAAGTGGTGGAGTCACCATCCCTGGAGGTCTTTAAAAGACGTTTAGATGTAGAGCTTAGGAATATGGTTTAGTGGAGGACTGTTAGTGTTAGGTCAGAGGTTGGAATCGATGATCTCTTCCAACCTAGAAATTCTGTGACTGTGATTCTTTGCACTTCCAAGTATACAGACTAAGTCAGGTTTGTCTTCTCTATAGCTTCCCATTAGGTAACTGAAGGCAGAAATAATACTTCCTCTCTACCCTCTTTTCCTAAGACTGAGCAAACCTATCTCTCTCAGCCTTTTTCCGTAAGTCAAGTTATAGCTGTAAGAGTTCAATCTAGTTCAACATTTTTTTACAATATTTAAGATTTCAATGTACATCCAGGTCACCGGTAAAATACCAGTTAATGTGGTGATTGCTGGTGATCCGACTGAGCATATTCCTGATCCTAAAGTCCCTTAGTTCTTGTTTATTTTATTTTATTTTATTTTATTTTATTTTATTTTATTTTAATTTTATTTTATTTTATTTTATTTTAATTTTATTTTATTTTATTTTATTTTATTTTATTTTATTTTATTTTATTTTATTTTATTTTATTTTATTTTATTTTATTTTTTAGTCATACATACTGGTCAACATGTATGTTACTAGTGCTGGGGCACAGATTTTGGACATACTCTTTAGTTTCTTTAACATAGGAGTCAAACTACATGCTTTGCTGGTCCAATTCCATGTTTCATAGTTTGGATTAAATATCATTGTGATCTAAATGGAAAATACAGTAGTTTGAATGTACTGCTGCATTCTTTGTTGAGTGGGTTGAATACCAGTCAAGCTGTGAACTTAAGAGACTGAAATTTCATATCCTCCTTTAATCATGCTGCATTCTTTGTTGATGAAGCAATACAACTTAACTGTGGAGAATATTTGCTGATCTGCAAAAGAGTGTGTTTTTGTTGCCAAATATACTTGAGATTCATTGCCAAATATACTAGAAAACAAACAACTAAGATAAAAATGTTTGCAACCCATGACATAGCAAGCACATTAATGGGCACTATGTATCTAAGACTAATAAAGAGGCTTATTCTACTTTCAGATACTCTAGAGAAAACTAGACCTTCAGAGATTTAACTAAATCTATAGCACTCTACATTAAGATCATACTATAGTTTGGGTCTGTAATTTTATCTTTGGTTGTTATTTACTAGTATATAATAAATTTAGTATATAGAGAATATATATATTGCTATTTACTAGTATATAATATGTTTAGTATATAGAGTGTATATATATATATATATAAAATATCACTTTGCAGTATAGTATAGTTGCTATGCTGTACTATACTGTATTTGTGTGTTCTGAGACCTGTGGATGAAATATGCTACACAAGCTATTTTTTAATTTCAAAGATATCTGGACTGAGAAACAACATCATGTTGTGCTGATTTCAGAAATTACTTAAATGATAAGATGTGTGCAACCTTAGCTTATGCATGTCAACTGCAACATGTTAGATTCAAAGAAGTGACTAGAACCATGTGACTGAAAAGTGATAGGAAGGTATTTTATAACTTGCTAATGAACAGCAAATTAAATTTGTAAATGTTGTGAACCTATGGAATTATCCAGAAGATGAACAGTTTTAAAATGTTAACTTTTTATCTGAAAGTCTATGTTGTCTTAAAATAAAAGAGACCCTTGAATAGTAGAATAGGAGTATAATAGAAATAGGTTTTATTTTCTTGAAAGTAAAGTGTTATGCTAGAGAGTACAGTATGTTTTCCCCTATACTTACGAGGTATATGTAGGTGAATAATTTGATTAGCAAAATGATTTCTAACTCTGTATATGAAGATGCACTGTAATTCACCAAAAGCAGGAGAGAAGATTTTTTTTAAAGAAAAGAGGAAAGCAAAGAAACTCAGAATAAGTCTATGCACTAACAGTTATGGCTATCAATTGTGGAATTGTGGTTCATTGCTCTTTCAATAAAAACTGCAATGTAAGCACACTACTGACACATCGTATTTGAAATAAGCCAAAATGAATGCAAGTAATAAAGTATCAAAAACTACGGCATTACAGTACTGTAAACTCATACCCTGCAGCAAGAGATAATACAGGATGATATACCAGCTTTTAAATCCAGGTATTTCTTTGGAATACCTCATAATTATTAGACTGGACAGGAAGATTGTAGGACTGGCAGGTAGTATGCATGTCTCTGTATTTTTTGTCAGAGTGCTGATATGTGTATGTTCATGCTGATAACAGTGGTGACAGAAATAGAAAATCCCTAACAGCTTCAGGGAATGAAAAAGAGGGCTGGAGAGTAAAGCTTCCTCCCTCTGCCCTTCTCCACACAATGTACACCACATCAAAAGGCAGAAAGAGCTTCTCTGTTCTCTTCACAGTTAACCCAAATTCCTTTTCATTAATCTCAGACAAATGATCATCAAACAGGCATGGAGCTTTACTCTGTAACAGAGGAATGAGATCTTCACAGCATCATTAACATTCTTTAAAACTGTTTCTTGGATATCAGAAATTCTTGGCGTTGGACCTGTGAAATACATTTTTCCTGTAAGAGCTATGTTTATGGTATGTATCTCAAAATCTGCTTATAAGTGCTTATAACGCTTATAAGAACATTTAGAGGGGAATGACTCAGCAAGAGATAAATCCCATCACACATCACATAACTGATCTGAAAATGTTCATTAGCAGATGTGTAATACTTGCTTTGACACTTTTTGGCAGAGCATCCAAACATTCTAGAATGGACATTCCAGACGGACATTTTTGGCATCACAACAGGTATGTGATACAGGTAGTAGGCATATATCTCCCAGAGACCTGGAAATAGAGATGAACAAGCAGTGATGTGTGGCCTTTTATGGCCTGTTGTGGACATACAATCTTCCAGTGCAAATGCGAATGTAACCTTTGTCCATTGTCCACAGAGAGGTACACACACAAACTGTAGCTGGAAAAAGCAGAGTCTGCAATAGAAGCAGAGATCAAAGATCCATAGCTGAAGAGAAAAATCTGGATACCTTCCTCACCCACCCACCAGCAATAAAAATATCCCCAAACAAACAAAAAAACATTCTAACTACAATAAGATTCAAGGTTAAAAGCTTTAAAGCTCTTCAAGCACTTCCAAGTTTGGTCTGAAATTGATTTAATTTAACAGGGCTGTTTTCCATACTAGAATGCATTTATATATGTTCAGATGATCTGAAGTTAAAAAAAGATTGGGGTTCAGACTCCCTCTTCAGCCTGGGTTCATATTTCACAGGCAAAATTCAAATTGCCTTGCCTGTGGACTAACAGATGGAGTTAATCTACTACTGTAGGAAACTACTTGCAAAACACACAGGCAAGCCAGCATCCATGCCCATTTTTGTATGAAACTACCACACACAGCAGCAGAGAGGAAACTTTTATCTTAAGAAATTGGCACTAGGATTCATGAAACTAAAAGGGTTTCTATCAAGAGATAGAAAGTTTTAGTACCATAATATTACTTCATAAAAAGAAAACTGTCTGATTTCATTTACACAAACGTTTATTTCAGTCAATCTAAACTGTTTCTGAAGGTATTTCAAAAAGACAAAATAGTTGCCTTCTGTAGAATATTTTGCTTAAAAAAAATTGGAAACAAGCTGATACACAAAATAAGGAAAAAAATGTATGATCTGTATTTTTGTTCTGCAGTCTTTACCTTATACATGTACTTCCATGTATTTTAAGGAAAAATAAAATAAATCACTCATTGATTAGGAATAACAGAATAACTGTGGAATAACTGTTTTTGTTTGTTTGTTTGTTTGTTTGTTTTTCTCTTTAGAGGAAAAGAACAGAAGCTACCACTTAATTTTCCTTAGTGTCTTGGTGCCAAATTAATAGTCATCTTGAGAGATTAGTTGTGCTGGTTATTTGTTAAAGAAACTGATTACAGGGGTATTATGGGTGCAGTTAATGTTCAAGCCATACGGAAACATGAATATCTCTTCCAAACTCTCTCTACTAGCAATATTCCCAATTTCTCCACCTTCACAAATGGATCCTCCAATTTTCAGGCAGAGTAGGTTAGATAGGAGAAAACATCCTCTGTTTTTTTATTTATGAAACCAAAAGTTCGGCTTTCGGATTATGTACGAGTAGAATGGTAAAGGTGTACTGATGTTTGGAGAATAATTATGGTCTTCTGTTTTAATTAATAGCTTAGTTGCATTGAATTGTCTTCTGAATACTACCTTATATTGCTATTCTTTCTACAGAAAATATCATCAACATATGAAGAGGAAGAAGAAAAAGACATGTAAAGATACAGTTAAAAGCACGACATGTACGTTAGATTAAAAAAAATAAATGCACACACACACACACAAAAAAAAGTCAGGAACTGCTAAATTGGTGGTTGCCTATGTACTCTTTTACTCTATGTAATCTCTCCCATGTGTCTGTCCCATGTACTGAATGAGGCAGGGGTCCTGTGGGAAAACAAGATGAGAGCATGTAATTAAAGACTCTATCATAATGCATATGCATATAACACTACATTGCACACACAATGTGTGGTTCATTTTCTTTCTCATCCTGTCCCTGCAGAGAAGATGAGAGAGAAAATGAACTACACATGACAGATGCTAGCAACATCAGTTAATGCATTTTTAGAAGGCAGTTAGATACTAAAGTTGTTTAAAAGATGTTGAAGATGAATAGAATAGAATAGAATAGAATAGAATAGAATAGAATAGAATAGAATAGAATAGAATAGAATAGAATAGAATAGAATAGAATAGAATAGAAAATGGAGAGAAGAGGACAGAAGGGGAGGGGAGTGGAGGTGAGGGGAAAAGGTATGTTGGTTTTCTGGAGTGCTAAAGAAAAATTTAATGTAGAAAAATTAAATCTTATGGATAGTACATTTTTGAAGATGAACCTTTTCTATGATTATCCTTTCACTACTTAAATAATATATATATTAAATTCATTCTATAAAAGATACATAAACTACATATTTACATGAAACTATGGGGGAAACTATGACTAAAGAGAGAGATAGACAAAAGAATTTGTGAAACCTATTATCCCATATTATATGATGCATTCTCAGGGAAATTCATCAGTTTACTACATATTGCAAAGCCGCAAAAGACCAGATAAAAATACATTCTCATTCTGCTCTCGTGTGGTGCCGTTTTGTTTGTTTGTTTGTTTGTTTTTTCCTCCTGTATTTTTCCACTATTTCAGTTCTTTGCCATGTCTTTTACTGTTTGTTCTTCCAGTTAGGAAGTTTTGCAATTGTCTATCTCCCACCACCACCACCTTTTCTTTTTTTTTTTTTCTTCAATTCCCCTGTCCTATTTTTTCTCTTCTTCATTTGTAGTAATTTTATTTTTGCTGTGATGTACTTACCAATAGATGTACTTCATGCAGTATTTCAGACATTTCCGGAACAGTTGTCACTTGGATAATTATGAAAGTATAAAGGACAAGATAAATAAATATACCGGGTATATCAGAGTTTGTCCAGTTCTGGGTTATTTCACAGTAACCAACTGAACAGCAGAAACATCAGAATCTACCTACTATCCCATAAATAGTCTTGAAGGAACTCTTACTTTGCCCTATTGGGATAGTGATTCTGCCATTCTATGCAGCCTAGTACTTCCATTGTGAGTTATGGCTATAGTGAAATAAAGCAGTTTCTTCATGATTACTCCCTGAGTAGAAACTCTTGCATTAGATATTGTGCTTCTCCAGGTGATGTGCTTCTCCTTATGCTTCCATGAAAACTGGATTCATCTGGTCTCATGCAGAAATATATCCAAATGACTAATGATTTCATGTGCTTCATTTTTCTTGTAAAAGTTCATAAATGTGCCTATGCTTAGGATATCATGTTTCTTTAAGTCTTGGAATACACAAAGTTAATACATCAAAAGACCAAGCTTTAGAAAACAATCTATTTTCCTTGCAATATACATTTAGTTTTATTTTTTACTGTGAGTTTATTTGTACTGGGAGTGTCTGAAATATTTTATACCTGCACCTACATATAAATGTGATGAATACATTCAGAATAATCCAACATAAATCCAAGTTTAAGAGAGAGCATAATCTCAACTTTTTTTGTTTTTGTTTTTGTTTTCAAATAGTTGAAATAGTTGCAGTATTAGGCAATTCCAGTGAAAAAATATTTAGCTGTCATTGTAAATATTACATTGATAAAGAAATCTATACACTAGTACGGTCTGCAATTCATCAAGTGCTTAAGTATATATTCTATTTAAATAGCAGTGACGATCTAAATATGGTCAGGATTCAGGAGCTAGAAGTTAGTCTCACGTGTTTCCAATGCATGAGCTAAAGTCCAATGTAATGTGATAAAAATATTCCCATCACCTTTGATGGACTGTAGATCAAGCTCAGGCTAACTGAAAAACATCTTGCAAATGAAAAACTTCTAGAGGAAGTAAATTGCTTTCACTATGGAATTGGAATATTTTTCAGGATGTCAAATAGTAGCTACTACAATAAATGATAAATAAGTAAAGGTAAACTAATAAAGCAGAGCCCAGGTGCTAAAACAAACAAACAAACAAAAACAAAACATAGAAACAAGAAAAAGAAAAACAACACATAAAATAAAGTAACTTCTTAAGTTCGATGCATTCATTGTGTGACACAGTTGAAAATTAATTAAGCTTTTAATCTTTAACTAGCATATAGACTTAAAAGTAATTATTTAAAGCCTAAACTTGCATTAAATGTTAAAATATTTGATTCCTTTTCACAATTATAATTCTTCTCTAAATACAGACCTACTTGGCATACTAGTTGTGTATTTTATAGTTTTCAAATGAATTTTAAAAGCTTGCCTTTTCAGAGCAAAGAATCTAACCACCACACCAGGGAATCCATGCCTGCCAGCCTCTCCATATGTTCCCTACATTCATAAGCCCTCTTGCTTAACAAATGTAAATACAGTTCTAAACCAAGTTTTCTCTCAAATGAGCACACAGTAAAGATCAGTGTCAGTGAAGAGAAAAGAAAGGAAAGACTTTTCCTTAGTCTATTGCTGTCCAGCTTTGAACATTGTCTTATACTTAAATTTTACAAAAGTGACTGCATAAGATTAAGAAGCAGATGCTACCTAAGGGCAAAAAAATTGCCACTTATATATATCTTGCCGCTTGCCACTTATATACACCTTACTCTCTGAGTGAACCTTTTAAGTCAAGCATCTTTTTTGACTTCTGTCTGTCAAGTAATATTTTGATATCACTGGACATGTTACAGAATGATGAGTGAGTCTAGAACAAAATATTACTGAGTGTAGTTCAGTCATGGGAATATGCATATAGAGGAGTTGCCAGTGTCTCAGATACTGGTGATCAGATACTCACAGGAGGTTTCCAGTGAAATCAAAGGCTATTAATATCAGCAGCTCCTTCTCAGGGTTACTCAGGTAATTCTGAATTGATTCTGGGTAATAAATTAGCTCTTATAACAAATGATATAACATACACAACAGCATATAACATACTCATATGTTTCTGAAATATTTTAAATATTGATTTGGGAAATTGCAGAGGATTAAAACTTAAAACTGTGTCTGGTAAAGATGTTGAAATTAAACTTTAGAATAATAAAACACCTGGAAGATCATCTAACAAGAATGGCTAAACCAGTATGTTTTCTAACAACAGAGGATCAATCTGTTCACTTTCTTTGAATGAAGAAGAGAAAATCATCTGGTATAATATATTTAGTCTTTTAAAAAGCATCTGACAAGGTCTCTTACTATAAGCTGCTAAAACAAAATAGTCATGGGACGAGATGCAAATGTTATGTTAAGAGACCAGGAAAAAGAGAAGCAAATGACAACTTTAATCAAGAAAAATGATTTTTTGAATAATATATATATTAATGAACAGAAAACACAGTGATAGATGAAAATCAGCAGTGATAACATAAAGAACATCTAACACAGAAGGGAGACACTTTAAGTGCTCATACCACTCACATGCTTCTGAATTAATCATATCAGCTCAGGAAATGAACCCCAGCATCACTGAAAATGAACCTCATCACTGAACCAGCATCACTGAAATGAACCTCAGCATCACTGTAAACAACTCAATGAAGACTTCACTTCAATGTGCAATGGTACTCAGCAAGCACATACTGGATATGTGAGAGAAGTGGTAGTGAATAATGTGAAATTGTGTAAATACCATTATATACACTTTTATTTATAAATTATGTTTTTTTTTTTTTCTTATATCTAAAATGTTTTTGTGGGTCAAATGATTTCTGTGACTTCAGAAAACTTAGAGACAATTAAGACAACAAATAGAATTTGTAAATGGAAAATACTTGTATGAAAGAGTGGTGAGATTTGGGCTTTTTTATTTTTGAAAAAAAAAATGTTTTAATCAAGTTGTGTATGGAGAAGACAGTTTGAGGGTCTCTGTTTCACAACAGATGAAAACAACATTGTTCAGAAGTGGGAAGAAGCAATTAAAAATCTGTTGCTAAAAATACCCTTCCCATTTAACACATAATCGCACTGTAGAACTCACCGTAAATATGTCACCAAGGCCAAAAAAACAGTGAGACTGAAAATTTGCCTGAAATTAAAAGGTATAAACAACTAACAGATTGGTATGAGTTAAAATCTTTGCTCTTCAGCACTTAATCTAAATTCTTAACAGTAGTGATTAGGATGCAGGAAATCTGCCCTATGTCTGATTATTGCACAGTATTATATTTACCAGATGTCATTCAGGCTGCTCATGCAGAAAGCTCAAATTGTGCAGGACACCTGTGGGCTTGCAACCCAGTTGTGAGCTTCAAATGGCCACTGCTTAGGAGTGGTAGAAATTAAAATTTCCTGCTGAAGATGGAAAAACATTGTGGAAAATGAAGGGACTCACTCATCTTCAGAAGAAGGTACGGGATGCACTGGTTTTCCTTATAATCACATTCGTGACCTCACAGATAACATCACTGTAGAAGAAATTTAGAGTTTTACACATCATTTCATTTCAAACTGTCAGCTTCATAAAGCACCCATAACAGTATTTGAAGTCTGAATGTATACATGATGATGGCCAAGTTTTGTCCTCTTCCCACTAAAAAGAAGGTTGTTTCAGTGAGTTGTTTGACTTCAGAATTTTCCTTTGGATGTACATCAGGAAACAGATCCAGAGCAGAGGCAATGTGACCAGTTTGGACTGACTGGCCATTGCATAGAACTGATATTGAATGGAACTAGTCAGTGAATGACAGAGGTAAATACTGTAAAATTCACACTGCAGGTATGGTGGGAGCCATGCTGCCTCTGTCACAAGAACAGAGCAAATGGCTTGGCAAGCTCCACCATGAAAAAAGGCATTGTCCTCTCCTTGAAAAACAGTTAACATCAAGGGGCACCTGTAAAGTATACAGGAGAAGCACTGGCTGTGATACAAGTCCAGAAAAACAGGAATTAAAACCTTTAACATCTCATGTTGATAAAATTTAACCCAGCGAAAATCTTACTCTAAATAAATATATTTATGGCTGAACTGATTAGGGTCTCAAAATCTTGAACTGTCAAATACATTGAGAATATAAGCAGAAAAATCATTTCATTTTTTTTAATATGTAAAAATTTTGCAGTATTTAGAAAGCCAAAACATTTGCCCATGCTCACACATTTGTTGTATTTGGAAATGTTCCTTTTGGTCATTAGGGCCCTCTGCAAAGCAGTAGTGCATGGGTGCTCCCTACCCTGCATTCTGTATGCTGGGCCACCACCTCCCTTCCTGCTGCATGCACATCACAGAGGTTATATTAAGAATACCCAAGCAAATTCAAGACTAGTCAAAAATTCTCCAGGGCTACATTCTGTGGCCAGTTCTCTTCAATGTTTTGGTAAATGGTCTATTTGTAAGACTCAAATGCATTCTAAATTTGCAGATGGTACTAAATTAAGAGCTGTTGACTTCCTCAAGGGTGGAGATACCATGCAGAGAGATCTTGACAAACTACGGGGCTGGGCAATTACCAAGTTTAACAAGAACAAGTGCTGGAACCTGAAGCTTGGAGGGCAAAACTCTAGATTTCAGGATTTCAGGAAGTGTTTGGACAACGCTCTGACATATGGTTTGGTTTTGGGGTGGTCCTATGTGGAGCTGGGAGCTAGACTCGATGATCCTTGTGGGTTCCTTCCAACGCAGGATGTTGTGTGATTCTGTATTGGCTGCTCTTAGACCTTGACACAGGGGAAGCAGAACGGTTAAAGTGGCTGTTAGCTTCTATATAAAATTCAGTATGAATAAGGGTGACTGTACAAATTCTTTATATTATTAATTCTTAACTATAAGCAAAGTGAGAAAACCCTTTTCAGTGTGACCATATGAAAAAACAAATTAAGAAACTCATCCTGTGAATGCTGTTGATTGTATAGGTTAAAGAGCAGCTACTTAAAAATAACTGCTAGTGCGCAAAGAATTGTAACTATGCCTGCGTTTGTAAGACTGGGCTCCAAACTGGTAATTCAAGTGCAGTGTAAGAAAAAATGTAGTAGTGTCACAACATAATTATTACATAGCTGTATTATAAACATCGTAAATCATTACTGAGCATGCTAATATATCAGTGTTAATGTATTGTTATTTGCTGTACAATCAGAGTAAAAAAGATAAAACTATTTTGTGGAAACCAATGCCAGCCAATAAGGAGGGTAACAAAATAACTTTTAGAAATTAAGCACTTATTTCTACTCTAAATCTTATGAAATAAGTTGTGTTCCTTCCCCCACTCCCACTCCCAGAACTGTCAAAGCAGTATATGCTTAAATTATAGTCAAAGCTCACAGTCTTGTCAGCATGGGTCCTCAGAGGATTACATTCTTTGAGGAAGTCAACCTACGTTGAGTTTATGTTTCTCTAACTTTCTGAGAATCTGGAATTGCCTAAAAGACTCAGCATTGGATGAAGAAAACCAAAAGGCCCATTAAGAAATGGCATCAACCAACATACAAAGAAGGGATTTTTATTGGTATTGTGAACATTTCAGGCATTATGACAGAATCACAGAAATTGTCTAGGTTGGAAGAGACCTCAAGATCATCGAGTCCAACCTCTGACCTAACACTAACAAGTCCTCCACTAAACCACATCGCTAAGTTCAACATCTAAACGTCTTTTAAAGTCCTCCAGGGATGGTGACTCCACCACTTCCCTGGGCAGCCCATTCCAATGCCTCACAACCCTCTCAGTAAAGAAGTTCTTCCTAATATCCATCCTAAAACACCCCTGGTGCAATTTGAGCCCATTCCCCCTCGTCCTGTCACCAGGCATGTGGGAGAATAGACCAACCCCCACCTCACTACAGCCTCCTTTAATGTACTTATAAAGAGCTATAAGGTCACCCCTGAGCCTCCTTTTCTCCAGGTTGAACAAACCAAGCTCCCTCAGCTGCTCCTCGTAGGACTTGTTCTCCAGAACCCTCACCAGCTTCATCACCCTTCTCTGCACTCTTTCTAGCACCTCCATGTCCTTCTTGTAGCAAGGGACACAAAATAGTACTCGATGTGCGGCCTCACCAGAGCCAAGTACAGGGGGACAAGCACTTCCCTAGACCTGCTGGCCACACTGCTTCTTATGCAAGCCAGGATGCAATTGGCCTTCTTGGCCACCTGAGCACACTGCTGGCTCATATTCAGCCAACTATCCACCAATACTCCCAGGTCCTTCTCTGCCTAGCAGCTTTCCAACCACTCATCTCCCAGCCTGTAGCTTTGCTTGGGGTTATTGCTCCCCAGGTGCAGGACCCGGCACTTGGCCTTGTTGAACTTCATACAGTAGACCTCAGCCCATCGGTCCAACCTATCCAGATCCTCCTGCAGAGCCTTTCTACCCTCGAGCAGATCGACACATGCACCTAACTTGGTGTCATCTGCGAACTTACTGAGGGTGCACTTGATCCCTTCATCCAGATCATTGATAAAGATATTAAATAGGACTGGCCCCAGTACTGAGCCTTATAAACCAGAGCACCAGATTATCTGCCCTCTGGTGGGGAACTGTCATTGACTTTCTGTGTTGGTAGGCATAGACTGGCTTTTACCGCTTGATTTTACACATGAATCATCATATGTCAAAAGGACTCTACAGGGCTCTCCTTTTCAGAGAAGTACATTGCTTGGCCTATCTGTGGTGTACATTGAAGAAAATAAAAGAAAAAAGATATTTTATTTGTAGGTGAGACATATGCATGATTTTAATTCCATTTGCTCATTTCATAATAGGTCTGAATATTTTCATGTTTTTTCCTGTTACTTTTTTTTCTTCCTATTTTGAAGAACTGTTTTTCCCTGTAGTCTGGCTGAAGGAAAAATTGAGGACTCAAGTCAATTGTCATTTTCATTAATCTGAACTACAGAGTAGATGGCAGAGCTGGAAAGGAGTATAATAACATAGGACAGCCAAGTATTGTTAGTACAGGCAATAAGAAAACTAGTAATTCTATTATTTTACTACATACAGATATTTTAAAAATATATAGGTAGTGATAACATTTATAGTTTAATGCAGTTGAGCAATAAAGCAGAAACATGATGGAATTGGCAGATAAGTTGCTTAGAGTCTAACACAACCATAACTTCATTAACAGCTCTAAGGTGCTGTAGGTGCAAGATTTACAGGCTCAAGTTCTGCAATTGGGTATACTAAACAATTACTAAGACGTAAGAGTTTATCTATGCAGTTATAGATGTTACACTTCTGATTACTGAGACTGCAATTTTAGAAACTGGTTCAAATTGTACATTCTCCAGAAATAATTTGCATTCTTGCATTCTCACTTTTCTTTCTTTTAAAAATAATAATCATTTAAAAAAACTCAAAGGATATTTTTTTTTCTTTAATAGTCTGCTATCAAATCTGAAAATAATTATACCTGGCCATCTAAGTATACATTATGTGGCCTGCAATGAGCAATATGTGATATTTTCAGAATACAAAAAGTTACTACCATCAGACAATTTCCAGAATAAAGATCACAGTTTTGCAGTTGTGGATCAAATTCAGTTTTGATGGTAATCCATACTTCCCCCGGAGTTTGAGTAGCATGAATATTGAGGTCCAAAAAAAAAAAAAAAAAAAAAAGAAATTCCTGCCAGAACTGTTAGAATGTTAAATAATTCTGTTTATTATTATTATTACCCAATAATTCTTTTCAAATTAAATTTTCAATGATTGCCAAAATTCTTTCGTCAGTAAATGTAGTGCCACTGGTTGAAAAATCTGAATAGAAAACAGTGCCTCAGCGCAACAATCAATCCTAAAATCTCACAGTTCATTTACATATGGAAATTCTTACACATTGAGTAATGGCATATACATGCACACCACTAGTTGCCCTAGCTTTCCCTGAAGGCACTGGTAGCATGCAGTGTTGTACCTTTATTCTCCCTGTGTAAGATTTATCTTAAAAGAAGAATGAAAAGTGTGTTGTGCTAACAACCAACCTTCAACTCCCCAAAATTCCTTACATACACATCTTTGAATATTTTTTGTTTGTTTGTTTGTTTTTAAGTAAAATATTGTCTTTTGAAACCTGAAAAGCTGAAATGGTGTTAAAAGTCACAAAGAATTTTTGTTGATTTTGTTGATAAATCCACCAGTATAATACTGATCTACAACGAATCACAACCAGATTTTGCCTTCAATATTTTGTGATCTTTCACTTCCTCAAAAGCAAATATAGGAATGTCAGCATAATATAGAAAGACATTTTACTTACCTAAGGAAAACAGGTGTGCATCAATTAGTTTACAGTTGGAGGAAATCTTATGAGTAGTTAAGAAGATCTTCAGCAACTAGATGACTTGTGATCAGTAACCCTGTATTTGGAAACAAAAACTTAAAGCAAACAATATTATTTAGAATTGTAAGTGCCAATCAATCTTATCTCTATGGAGCTGATCAGCCTTTCTTTACCAAACTTTTGATAACTTTAACAGTTATCGAAAAAAAATTGATCCCTTCATAAAGTTTTACTTATATCTTCAGCTGTTAATTCTGGCATGGAACAGTGTAAGTGTTACATTTCCGACATAGTTGTATCTGCTATAGCTGAAATACTATTTTCCTATCCATGTATAATCTAAAAGTCTAGTAATATTACTTCTGTAAAATATGAACAGAATTGCAAGATGGTTTTATCCACAAAAGCAGATGGTACGTCAGAATACATTAATGATGAATGTCTCTGTGAGAAGATTAGAGAAATCAATTGTTTCTTTTTGAAAAATGTAAACCTTTGCACAAGCACTTATCCTAATTTGCATCAATGGATTTACTGGCAAAGATCTTTTCCGTTGGCAGGTTTGTGAAATATGGTTAGGATTGAAATATGAAATATGAAATATGTTTAGTATTTTTAAGTCAAACTTATTGTAGATTGGGCCGCAGTCATAGCAATATGAAAAATATACACATATTTTAAAGTACACATACTTTTCTTTGTTATCTGAAGAATTTTGTATTCAAAGAGAAAAACTGTCCAAAGCAAAATGTTATGTCTGAGATGAACTGAGGAAGGAATAAAATACCACAGCATCTTTGTGGTATGCTAAGTATTCTGTTGCTCTTGAAGTTACCACAGTGAACTGTCCTGAAGCATCCTCTTCAATTTATTAAGTGTTGAGTTGCTAAAAATTACTTTCTAAAAATCTATCTTTAATAGTACTGAATATTTAGCAAGTACTAGTAATAGGGAAAACATACTAATATTCTCCTAAGGATAAGCAAAGTAGTATTAGTGAAAAAAATAATAGATCTTTGCACATGATCAGCTCAGTGAAAAGGTATCTGTACTTACAGTTTAACAATATTGTCTTGTTAGGCTGAGAAACAGGTATTTTCAAAGGTACAAGTTGTGGTTATATGGTTATAGATGCATAACTTCCTTTTTGCATATCCCCATAGATTTTTTCTGGAGCAGTAGTTCTTTCCCTCTCACATGTTCAAGATCATATACCTATTCTTCTTATATCAGAAAGAAAAGAAACTACAGGCACAAATCTGATTCTGTTACAGCTTTTTCCAGCTCTCATTGGTTTCACTAGAAGCTGGAAGAGGACACATAAGCATAACTAAGGCAGAAATGTAAGAACAAATAGCCAACATTTTGCCTTAAAAATAATATTTTCTTTTATGTTTCCCAATCTTATAATCACTTCTAGAACTTTAGGTTCCTCCATTGTATAGGACTGACCAAGAGTATCACTTAGAAAAAATTAGCTGGTTTTCAGTAGAATGCCACACAGTTTCATTTGATATTTGACTTAATCCTTTCTCAAATATGTAAATTTTTTATCTTACAATTCTACTTCAGAGGATTCTGCCTTGCTTTGACTGACATTTGTCATGTAGATATGGTAGAGAAAGATTATTTATCTTGACAGCAGGCTGATGACAAAACATCTATACTATGATTAAGCTCATTTCTAGATTAGAAAGATTGCACTAGCAGTTTCTGCAGCTGGTGTCTCTGTGACAGTTGTAGTTATCTTAGCCTACATTTCAGTGTTTTGCATTTTTTGCCAAAGAATACCTGAAGATTTCTGCTTTACAGACTGCATAAATTCATGATTACTTTCATGACTACATTAAAAAAAATGACCAGCAGTAGCATGACCTGTAGGATTTATATTTTTTTTATTATGATATCCTGCTATTTGTATTCAATTTTAATGGAAATTTCATTTTGATTGTGGTCTTGAAATTGACAGCAAGTTTATAGGATTAGGCCTGGGTTTGTCCTTTTATTTTCCGATTCTAAAAACTTTAGACATCTTAGCCTTAAATTTTAGAAGTCATACTTTAATTTTTATAGTATTCAGTGTGCTGAATAGTTCAGCAAGTGAAGGCATATTCTTGGGAATAAAAAAAAAAAAAAAAGATGGCAGGTTGGGTTGCCTGTCTATCAAAACATGGCTGCAAAAGGTAGAGGTTTTAGGAAGGTGTATTTTAAAATAAAAAACTTAGGGAAACTTGAATTTTAAGAGTTGGGTTATAATCTGAAGAAGTAAAGCTAGAATTAAGACCTCATCTATTTTCTACAGAGGTTAAGGTCAAAGAGGAATTATTAGGATAACTGAACAGG